TTCTTAAATAATAAATTATAAATAGAATAATTATTTTAGCGTTACTTTAATATTGAGAGAGAGAGAGAGAGAGAGAGAGAGAGAGAGAGAGACTTCAAAATATAAATGAATATTTTCTTACTTTTTACAATCAAGAAGTGATTTAATATTTTCACGTAACACTTTTATGTAAATATTATTTTTTAAAATACTTTAATACATATATGGTTTTGTCCATAAATACAGCACATTCGAAAAAAATAATCTGGAATATGCCTCAACGTTTGAAAAATGTTATTAAACGAGCAGGTTATCCTACAAAATATTGTTGTAATTTATATAAATAAAGTTTATATTATTATTATCTAAATGTTTTCTTGCTTCTGTTATAAAGAAAATTATAATGGAACGAAGTGAAAACTCCGTGGTGCTGTATTATTAAAGTTAATCACTGTTCATAGGATGGAAATAATGTGCTTGAAAAATGTAATGCACCTACTTCAAAATGTTTTCACTTAATAACAAGTAGACTGCGAATTTTATGCATTTATGTAAAAAGATACTATTGCAAATTCCAGTATTGTTAACTTACTAGAATTATTAAAAGAAAAATTAATATTTATCTCATTTCTGTTCTATAAATTAGTTGTAAGAAATAGTAAGAATGTCTGAGCAAATTCGTATTCTGCACAAAGCTCCAGAGTCTGGTAATAAATTAACAATACTAGACACGTTAAATACGTGCTCACGCTGATTTCCTCGTAATTTGCAACACCATCAGAATTTCATTTCGTGTTGCATCTTTTATGTGCATATCGACTTCATAATCCGTCGAGTGTTATGATTATGCTCAATTAGCGGTGTTTATGACTCAGCCAGCATCGTTAGCATATTTAACCATGCTGCGCAGTTATTCGGTATTGAAAGCCATTCTCTTTTCACCTGTTTTTACTCGGCTGAAAACAATCGAGCACAGTAACATTTTATAATCGGCATTACTCATAAAACAAAGTAGTTTCTTAGAAAAGAATTTTAAAAAATCCCTGTTCTTTCCAATGCTTTAGTGGCTGTATCGTACTCCACGATATTCCTATTGCATAGCAATCCCCATTAATAATTCATTTGCGTTAGTTCGCAGCGGCGTATTTACATTTAACAGTACGCAGATCCATTAAATCGTTCAGTTTTGCTGTCCTTCTCGTTCTCACGGGATCTCTGTCCGA